CCTCATAATAAACCCGATAAAAAAAAATTGTAACGACCCATGTCCAGAATTCAAAATCTAGGATCCGATATATGATAGTCTCGATATTCTCTTGTGACATAGTCACGTTATCTACCTCTCACTTTTTAAAAGTAAAGACTATCAGACCAACACAAGTCCTTCCAGCATTTTTGTTTTCAAAATTAAATTCTTTTTAAAAAGAATTTTAAATGATTATTTGAAAATATTTAAAAACTTAATAAATTTTATAATGAGCACAACTAAAGGATTTTGTTATTTAAAATTCTAAACTAATTATAACATATTATATATATATATATATATTAGAGGTAATTAAAATAAATAATTTTAAAAAATAAGAACAAAATTATTTTAATAATTTGTGAGAAATATGACAAATTTCTAGAGAGAGAAAGATAGAGAGAGAGATGAACAATTAATGTCTTTGTTTTACTCGTTCCCCAGTCTTTTCCATGTTTTTTCCTTTCAGTTTCTCCGGTCACAATCATGGAGTTTCTCTCTCTGTTTCCCTTCCTTTATAACCCATTTTCATGCTTCCTCTGCTTCCCCAGCTTCGATCATGGAGTTTGTGAATCTAATCCAAGAGCTTAATCAGGGGAGAAACCTCGCTCACCAATTACGCGATCATCTTCATCCTTCTCTTTCTTCTTCTTCTTCTTCTTCTTCTTCTTCTCCATCTTCAAATGGCATTCTCTTGATCGATCAGATTCTTCGTTCTTACGAGAACGCGCTTTCTGTTCTCGCCGGCGGCAGCGGCGGCGGCGATGAAGAAATCCCGCCCATCATTGCTGCTGTGAAACATAGAGACGTATCGAAGAAGAGGTAATTTCGTAATCGATTGTTTTGGGATTTTAGGGCTTTGTTGGTTCGTGATTTTGATTGGATTTTAGGGTTTTGTGTTTTGCAGAAAGGTAATGGCGAAATGGAGTGAGCTGGTTAAGATTCCTTCTGTCTCCGCCATTGGAGCTCTTCCTGATGATGGATTTAGCTGGAGAAAGTATGGGCAGAAGGACATTCTTGGATCCAAATTCCCCAGGTCGCTTACCTTTTTATCTCATTATATTCTTCTCTGTTTCAAATCGTGTTCGTAGTGTTCATCTGTTCTTTTGTTCTTGTTCCTGCGGGTTTAATCATCTAAACTGAAAAGAGTTTTTGAGAATCGTTGAGAGATGAATCTTCGATCATTGATCGATTTATAGGTAAGTAATACGTCTCCATTGGTATGCTATTTTGAAGAGCTTATGCTCGAAGTGGATAATATCATACTCCTAATAAATTTTCGATTTGATGGATGAGAACAATGATTATGATCGATTTAGTTCATCACGTCAACGATTTATGAAGTAATATGACAGCAAAACGTAATCATTTTGTTGTGTTTTGGGAATTGCAGAGGCTATTTCAGATGCTCACACCGCTTTGCACAAGGATGTTCAGCAACAAAACTAGTTCAAAGATCAGACAATGATCCATCCATGTATGAAATAACGTACAGAGGTAAACACACCTGCAACAAACCTCTTCATTCAAACACCCCAAAACAAGAACAAAACCCACCACAATCACAGCAACATCCAATGCCAATGCCACCAAAACAAGAACAAGAGGAGCCATTGCAGCAGCAGGATGTCCCATTGTGCCTCACCGTCAGCTCGGACAATGTGGACGACAGCCTCCGACGACCCTTTTGTCCCCTGTCGCCATTGTTTCGATCTGAAGTTGAAGATGCTCAAAGCCCTTTTAGGGGAAGTGAGTTGGAGGGGTTAGAATTTTGGTGTATTGGGGATGGAGATTTGGTCTCAGTTCCGAGTTCGTTCACCAATATTTCCATGGGAGATTTGGAGGAGTATTGTAGTTTGGAATCCTTCTGCTGAATATAAACAAGCAATCGGCATTGAAAGAGAGATGATTTTATTATGTGAAGGTCTCCTGCATTGCTGCTTGGTTTTGAATTCAGTGTACTTATTCATCTTTCTTTAGGAGAAAATAGGCATTTGGTAACTTTCTTACCACTTGTGTATTTGAATTAGAACAATAAGATTGGAATTCGTATTCATATTTTTTTCTAAAAGGACCAAAATACCCTCATTTTCAAGTCCCGAGCCGAGATGTATCCATCGTTGAAGGGAGTTAACGATGTAACGAAGCTTGTTTCTTAAAAGATTCAATCCTCAATCCAAGGAGGCGTTTTAGAAGTCAGGTCCTCTCACAAAACCAATGTACGTAGATCGAGGAAGAGGAGATGTGATGAAGCATTCCTTATAAGAGTATGAAAATCTCTTCCTAGTAAACACACTTTAAAACTGTGATGCTGACGACGATACGTAACGAGCCAATGGACAATATTTTCTAGTGGTGAGCTTACAAATGTTATCAGAGTCATTCATTGGGGCGGTGTGTCAACGTGGGCATTGGGTTCTCAAGGAGAGAGGGGATGGATTGTGAGATCCCACATCAATTAGATAGGAGAACCAAGCATTCCTTTAAAACCGTGAGGTTGATGACCGATAAGTGACGGACCAAAGCGGACAATATCTACTAGCGGTGGGCTTGAGTTGTTACAAATGTTATCAGTCATTCATTGGGGCGGTGTGTCAACGTGGACATTGGGCCCTTAAAGAGAGAGGAGATGGATTGTGAGATCTCACATTGAAGACAAGATAACTAAACATTTCTTTAAAACCGTAGGGCTGATGACAATAAATAATGGGCCAAAGTGGACAATACCTACTAGCGGTGGGCTTGGACTCTTCCCGGATTCATTTTTGTGGTTGGTGGCATCATCAGCTTTGTGGGTAACACGTGTCAACTAAGAATATGTATCTCGTTATTTTTTATTCATCAATCATGTTTTTTTTTTTTGAATAACTTGATTAGCATTAACAATAAACGTTAAAATATTTTATCAACAAAAATAAACTTAAAAAAATTACTGTCAAAATTTTCTCACTTTTGGGTAATAAATATTTACTCACAATAGTTTTGTTTTCAAATTCTTGTAACTAATAAAATTTTAAACATAATTTGCAAATATACCCCCAAAGCATTCTCGATTTGTTCATAAGGGCCTCGAACCAAAGATAATCTCACCGTCCATTGGGTCAGATCTGAACCATCGAAGTTTTGGGCCTGAAAATGGTAAGCCCATTTAGTGAGTTCCAATCTATAAGTACGATAGCTGATGCTCACCATTTGAGCCATTTTGGTCATTGGGAATCAGACGGAAAAAAGGAGCGAAACCAAAGATGATCTACCGGAAATGGAGTCTTCTCACCGGCCCCACCGCTATCTTGGGCGGCATAGTTGTCTCTCTGGCTGTCGCAAACTTCATCTTCGTTAAAGAAGTAATCCCTTACTTTCCTTAATTCCCTTAGCTTTTTTTTTTTTTTTCCACTTCTGATTTCTAATTCATCTAGATTCTTTCCAATATTTTGGTGTTGTTGTTATTAGTTTGTGTGTATGTGTGTTCTTTTATATGATCTGTTTGCCATGATTTGGATTTGTTGTTATGCGGCCGACTAGATTTAGGGTTTCGCATGATTTTTCCTTCTGCTCTCTTTTGGTATCTGGAAATCGTGTTGTGAAATTGAAAATGAATCTGTTCGGTGGAGATGGATGTGGCGTTTTTTCCTTATTTCCTTTTGAAACTTTCTCTTTTGCCTGAAAAATTTGGAATCTAGGAACATTTCACGCATTTTTCTAATCTCGGGACTTGAATTTGGTAGGATGAATGCTTTGCTCTGGGGTTGGGTGATCATTTAGTCTAAGAGTTTAAGCAGTTGAAGCAAGATTATGTTAATATTTTCAATGTCTCTGTTTGGTTAAGTTGAATTTTTTTCTTTTCAGTATATTATTAAAACTTCAGTCCATACTTACTGTATGTGCTTGTGGGTAGGCAACTGGTTCATACTTTTCCACTATATTCATTTACAGACAATAGAATTGCTGCATGTCTCTGAGTTGCCTCTTTTAATTATGTCTATATATTGGCCATTGATGTGCTGGCAATTCTCACTCATGGTTTGAGCTCTCTTAATGTTGCCGAAACTTCAATAAATCTAAAGCTTAAGTGACTTCAATCTAAACTTGGCGGTGTCTTTATGAATGAAGTTTGTACTTGAGTAGTACTTTCATTTAGCCTGGCTTTTCCATTTAGTGGTTTGACGATGAATAGATCATAATAGTAACACCATATTTTTTTCTTCCTTTAATGAATCGACCTGAGGATACAAAATAGTTGGTGGTAAGGGTTGTAGATGGACCTCCTCCCATTGTACTCTTCCTTTTTCTTTAGCAATTCCATAAGAGGGTAGATAAGGCTGCTGATAAAGCACAAGCCAAACACCTCATAATGTTCCTAAAAATGGCTTGGACTTTTTTGCTGAGGTTTGCTGTGGCATATCAAGCACGGCTTCAATTTTTAGTTGAGTCCACATGTGTGCCTTGTCAACTCACCAAATTGTTAGACGAACGCGACTCTCCACAATGGTATGATATTGTCTACTTTGAGCATAAACTCTCATGGCTTTACTTTAGGATTTCCCAAAAGGCCTCATACCAATGGAGAGAGTATTTCTTGATTATAAACCCATGATCATTCCCTAAATTAGCCGATGTGGGACTTTTATCATCTAACACCTCCCCTCGAACAAAGTACGCCTCCCCTTAATTGAGGCTCGACTCCTTTGGAGTCTTGTCATTTTTTACTATGCCTTCGAGGAGGGTTGACTCCTTTCTTTTGGAGTCCTTTGTTCGACATTTGAGGGTATACTAAGTTTAGGGCATGGCTCTTATACCATGTTAGACGAACACGACTCTCCACAATGGTATGATATTGTCCACTTTGAACATAAGCTCTCATGGCTTTGCTTTGAGATTCCCCAAAAGGCCTCATACCAATAGAGAGGGTATTCCTTGATTATAAATCCATGATTATTCCCTAAATTAGCCGATGTGGGACTTTCATCATCCAACACAAATAACCAAGATATTTCTTTGAATGTTACGTTGAAGGTGCGCTGTGGTATTACGCACGCTGAATTTACATCTTCAACCGAAAAATTCTTGATCATTCCAAAAACCCTTTGTAGAGCTTCTACAGGCCATTCTTATATCTTGGATTTGAAAATAGATTCTGTATTAGGTAGTTCTTACGGTTACAGTTTCTAATAAGCAATTAATTAACCATGTATTGAGGATCATTATTATGGATTCTGGATCAAGTATGAGTTTCCTTATAGATACAATTTCTTGTAGTATAGAAATTTGTCCAGAAAATTTATGTTGAATTCATTTATTTATATTACTAACCATTAAAAATTCCAAGATATTGGGCAGGAATCTTCTCGAAGGAAAGAAGAAAATTCTTTGGAACACTGTTATTAAGTCTCTCATTGATTGGTCAGGAAGAAATAAGAAAAATTGTAAAATTCACTGGAACAATGTTATTAGGCGTCTTCCATTGAAAACTTAACGTCAAAGAAAACTGATAAATTTTCCGATAGTTTTAATCATATTTGTATTTTTTGGAAAAGGGGGCATGCCACAAAATGGAGCTCGCTTTGTAAAGCCTTTTGTAATGAGAATTTGGTGCCAATTGGAGTGTTTCTTCCTCATCCTGTGTTTTGTATTTCGTTTTTCGATGAGTGGTGTTTATTTCTCAAAAGAAAAACATAATTGATACTTCTTTTTTCCTTAATTGACCGTAATCATTCCTACGAATGTTCATTTGCAGGATCCATTTCTGAAACCGAAGGAAAGGAAGCCGGAACCAGCTACAAAATGAAGGATATGTTCAGCGAAGGTTCCAATTTAAATCATCTAGAGATTGTATCTGGATTGGTGTTGGCTTTAAATTGTTATTTTGCTTTCTCATTAGAATTTGTTATTAGTTCTAAGATTCTCGGTTAGACCTGACTAGTGATCTTTATCTTTAAATAACCAGATGAGAAACGTTTCTTTGGCCACGATCCAAAAGTTTCTCATCGACTATTCTCGAATTGGATGAAGGTGGGGAATGTATTCGAACAGTTGGGTGTGTGGTGGATCCTTATGCTGTCTAGATTTGCAGAAGGAAAACCAAAAACAAGAAACAAATAGTAAATAAACCATCACTCTTCTTTTTGTTACAAAAGATTGATTATTAGGTGTCCTTATTTCTTTTTTCAGCTCCATCACGCTTGTATTTTTGTTTACAAATGGTTTTACAAGATTGATCAATGAAGGCATTTCTGTTTCTACATATATATATAAAGCATTTATTCTTTTCCAGGTAAAACAAACAGCCACTCCAAGCAACCATAATCCTTTGTAGTAATATCACCTTCTATTGCAACCCTGTGAAAGTTGAATCTTGTGTTCTCCAAATATGTCCAAACCCTTTGAATCTTCAATCCTTTACATCTGAACCAACAATTGCATTAGCAAATCATTCCAGGAGTCTATTGGACCTGGTAAACACCAATGTAAACAATCAGTCTGAACTTTTTTATTTCCATCTGCAAATGGATGGAACTGCCTGTATGGACCCGGGTGCCCATCAGGTCTCAATAACGAGAGTTGGGTCGTGTCGAGAAGCTTCAAACTTTGGTCCTTTCCAGACCCACCAACCTTCCCGAACTCTTCCAGTTCAATTTTTCTCATTGCTACGTCCACATCTTTCATGTCAACCTCCCCTCCCTTGAAGGGCACTGTCCTATTGCATTGCCCTCCACTGAACCATTCTCCATTCTCAAAGTGATCTGGTGTGGTAGTTCTGAAGAACACAAACGCCTTGTGATTGGAACCCGTGACGAAGTCAAATACTCGGTTGATTACTTTTCGATACGCATACTCAAACCCTAGGTCTGTTAAGTTCTTTACCAAGCAGTTATGGCAGCCAATGACAGTGTCGTTCTCGTAGTATATAGCAGTCTTCAAAAACCATTTCCCACCTGCAATTACAACATAATCAAGATCCTTATACTGTGAGGTCCATTCTTCACCGAGCTTGTTGAGATGGAGCTGGACATCCGAACTCGAAATTCCATTGATATCCTCAAAAATGACCGCTTTCGTTAGGAACGGGTCCCAAATCACTGAAAGTGTGAAGTTGTGAGATGGGAAGCTCCATTTTTTGGATCTGTACTCTTCATCATGGTAGATCTCAACTGCTTCCTCCACCTGTGGGACATTTCCACTGAACTTTCTTCAATATCAAAACATATCAACAAATAATGAATTATGCCAAACAATAAAAAAGAACACGACAAGAAGCAAAGTCCACACGACAATATTCAAAGTGTTCCAGTGGGGGTTAGTATTAATTTCTAGTGTAGTTCGTTTATTGGTCAATTATTGAGGATGCAAATATTGATGATGCTTTACTGTAGCAGTAGACCAAACATCTCTTTGTAACGACACCTTAGAGAAAGATGCAAAAGATAAGGTTCCTTTGCTTCTAAACAAAGTTAAGTTCATTGGAAATGAACTTCTTAACCCCCTGTTTCGAATGGGGATCTAACCACATAGTTCTCCTCTGTTTAGGCTCGAAAACGATCCCACGACATCACCTAATCTCGACACGACACAGAAACAAGACTAATAATTGCTTGAAACTCAAAGAATTGGAAGCTGTATAGTACCTGAGACAGAGTACAAACCAATGATTGAACATGGTTACGTTGAATGGAATCGCCAACGAAAGCCCATGATTTGTTCCTCATTAGATTAAGAAACTTCCTGGGATCAAACTTCGGTAACTCACAGTCCTTTGGACTCCATCTCCAGTAAAGATAACCCGTGTCGGGTCGTCCGTTTCGTACACAGTTCTGATGAGCTTCAATGACATGGCAGCTCTCATTAGTGTAAGAGGGTCCAGCAGGGTCTGCTACCCATTCCCCCACAAATATATCACATTCTGCTCTAGTATCTGAATTTGTTCATGAAAAAACCAGAATCAGTGAGTATCAAACATAGGAATTTCAGACAGATAAGATAATAGTGATGAACTTAGATCTATCCCCAAAATGTTTGGAGTAATTGTCTGCTATTAGGTTTGATCCTGTGATCCTGTTTGTCTGAAAAAAGGGTTCATATGAGATTTGTTGTAGGGAGGGGGTATTTTCCCGAGAAAACCCATTTTCCTGGAAAGTGAAGAGAAAAGAATCTCACCATTTTGAGGGGAATGAGCTCTGATTTGAAGAGGGGAAGATGATATTAGCTTGGAAGAAACAGAGAGGAAAATGTGAAAAGAAAGAGCAATGAAGAGTAAAAAGAGGGCAAATTTGAGAAGAACATGTCTTTGCTTTCTCACAAGAAATGGGTTATTGGGTTCAACCTTCATATCTCTCTCTCTCTCCTCTGCTTCTGAGACGAAGAAATGAAGTGAGAGAGAGAGACTTAATTCTGCAACCAACCAAAGAGGGCCTTAATTAAGTGATGGGGTTGTGGGTTTAAGTCTTGAAAAGCTGATGGATGTAGATGGGTTGATCCCTTATGAACCTTCTTTCTTTTCCTTTTCCCTTTCCTTCTTATATTGCTGTCACTTTTGAGCTTGTTCCCCCCTTTTCTTTTGATAAATTATTGACCAAATCCATCCATCCATCTGCTTCTCATCTTGTTCGATATCCGTTATATGTATGTCTTTTAATAACTATTAGGTACATATTCGACGTTTCTCATGTCTTTAGGTACAAAAGTACTCGTGTTTTGTTAGGAACTAATTTCCTTTATTGTTAGGGGAAAACAACTACTTGAAGGGATAGCGGAGCATATGTACGGTTGAGAGCGAACCAGAGGGAAACCAAAACATTGGTAAGAACCAAATTTAGATGTAAGTATTATGATCTTAGCTGTAGTAGTTAAAAAAATATATTATTGTATGACATTAAAGTTTAATTGTAGTAGTTTATGTAGGTTTGAAAGTATAGGATATGTATATATAAATAAACAAATAAGCTGAAAATAAGGTAGAAAGAGAAGGGCAATGTGATGGTGGCAAATGCTTGAACCCTTCTAATGAACTTCTCTTTATTCTTTGAGATAATGGAGGCATTAATGAGCTCATATGGGGAGGAGGGGAGTAAGCCGGGATTGTAAACTCGAATCCTAATTTTAGGATGACGGACCCTTTTAATCCCGTCCATAGACATGTCACTGATTGAGAGAAAAGTGTCATGATGCAACCAAGGAGAATGATGGAGAATGATGCATCACTTAATATACTGAGAAGACGTTTGTGTGTATTGGGAGTTTTGGCATAAGGCTCTCGAGTTAGATGCATGCGGCTATTACTTTGCAGCAATATGGACTCGACCCATTTCATATATTTAGTTTCTCCTCTCACTGAGTTTTTCTGGTTCCCCTCCTCGAAACGAATAGAAAAGTAAGTAATAAATAGGTGAAAGAATGAAAAAGAAGACGATTTACCTTCTTTACAACCCCCTCTCATTGGTCGAAGGTTGCTTGCAACATAAGTTTGTACACGAAATGAAGTTCGGTTGACGATGAAAGAATTTCACCTAAAGTTTTCCATAAGGATGGCCATGATCGAGTTTAAATCAAAACGCTACATGGTTGGAAGAGTATACGAGTAACCCTAGAACACTAGACAACTACCTTCGTTACTCATCAAAATAATAAATAAAATTTTGTGGTAAAGGGTGGTCCCTATGTCTTTTTTCTTGGGCTTTTGCATTGGAATGGCTCATCATCAAGCCTATTTAGCTCATATTATGGATGACCCATCAAGCCTATTAACCCATCAAGCTAGCTTTTTTTTGGCATTTTAGAAATTAAGTCTCCTTGTATGGAAATTTAATATTTCAAAAATGCACGGATCCCACATCGATTGGAGAATGGAACAAGTGCGAGCATAAACGCTGGACCTCGAACGGGGGATGGATTGTGAGATCCCATATCGGTTGGAGAGGGAACAAAACAAGGGTGTGGAAACCTCTCCCTAATAGACGCGTTTTACAAACATTAGAGAAAGTCTAAAAGGAAAAGCCTAGAAACGACAATATCGGTTTGTGGTGGACTTGGGTTGTTACAACGGGAGTTATTTTAGATTCCTCTATCGTAGATTCAACTAACCCGAACCCCTTTTTGGGAACTCAAGCTCACTACTAGCCGTATGACCTTTTTGGGCTTTTCCTTTCAGCCTTCTCTTCAAAGTTTTAAAACACGTCTACTAAGAAGAAGTTCTCACACCTTTAAAAAAATGTTTTGTTCTAGTCTTTAATCAATATAGGATCTCAGACATCTCGACCCAAGCGGTTAAGGGCAAGAGAAATATTTCACATATTTCCACGACGGTATAATAGTGTCGGTTTTAAACATGAACCCTCGTAACTTTACTTAAACACCTCCCTCCCGGGTTCGGTGGACGTTCATCAAATTGTGTTTGGTGGCTTGATTTTAGCATCTAGAGAAAGCAAGTGAATCATTAATGGCGTCTAAATTACAAAGAAATGGTCGTCAAATCTTCGTTTTCTCTTGGCGAAGTTGGAGAATCAATGACTGCGGCAGAATAAGGCAAAGAATTTGATGAGCTCCATAGGGATGTGAAATTAACATATCTTTGTCTCGTTTTCACCCAAAGAACAATTTTAATGATCCTTCTCCTACCACCAACTTTTTATCAGAATCTTATCCCTATTCATCGATGAAAAATAAAGAACAGGTGTGGAAACTTCTCTCTAACAGACGCGTTTTAAAAATCTTGAGAGAAAGTTCGAAAGGGAAAGCCCGAAAAAGACAATATTTGTTAACGGTGGGTTTGGGCCGTTACAAATGGTATCAGTCCCCAAGGGGGGTAGACACGAGGCGGTGTGCCAGTAAGGACGCTGGGCACCGAAGATGGGTGGATTTGGTGAGGGTCCCACATTGATAGGAGAAAGGAACGAGTGCCAGCAAGAACGCTAGACCCTGACCCACATTAGTTGGGGAGGAGAAGGGTGTGAAAACCTTTCTCTAGCAGACTTGTTTTAAAAACTTTGAGGAAAACCCGGAAAGAAAAAGCCCAAAGAGGACAATATCTGCTACAATGGGTCTGGCTCGTTACAGTGTAATACACATCTAACCAACATGAATGACCAAGCTAGAATTAAC